TGAATATGATAAGGACCTGCCAGGTACAGAGTGCTCCGGAAGTGTTGGTCATCATCACTCACAGTAGGATTACTGCAGGAGCTGCGTCTGCACTAGGTGTGGGGGAATGCAGGGCAGCCCATCGTCTGCACTCCCACCTTCCGGCTTACAGTGGAGTTGGGAGACAAACCCACGCAGCAGGCAGGCAGGCAGAGCTGCCAAGTGGCGGGGAAGATCCCCTAGTGCTGGACTTCATACTCCGTGGCCAGTGAGGGGGCTGGGAGGGGCCCAGGCGGATGCAAGAGGCATGTGCTCGTGGGGCTGTCCACCAGGGGGCAGCGTGCCACACGGGCATGCGGGCCTGGCCAGTCAAGACCGGAGACTGTGCATCACGCAGTCTGCCCTGCGTTTCAGGGTTTTCAGCTTTCCAATTCTCCTCTACTCCCACAGGCCATCTTGGTAGAAACAGTTTCCCTCCAACCCCACTCGCTGAGTCTGGCTAGGGAGGAAAGAGGGATGGGGGAGCTCCCAGGGGCCCCTCTTTGGGCCCAGAAAGAGGTCCCAGTTGAGCTCCCCAGTGGCTTCCGGCTGAAACTCTCGGCAATGACCATGACCCCCTGCCTTGTGACTCCAACCTGGAGGACCCTGCTGATCTAGACATCAGTTTGTGCCTGAGGCTCCCAAGTGGGACAGCCTGGACCTAGGAGGAGCCAAGCTTTAGGCTGAGTCAAGGTTTTGTAAGAAGTGGTCAGAGGGAGGAGGCAGGGAGCACGTGCCCTCAAGACTAAAAATCTTCATCTGTGGCCTCACGTTGACTACTCATGATCCCATCCCTCATACATGGAGACTTGAAATTCCCAGAAATCACCTGGCATCCCTCCTTGTGGATAGTCCTTCCCATCCGCACTTCCACCCACAGTCTTGCTTTTCTGCCCAACCAACTCCTATTCATCCTGTGTGACCCAGGTGTCACCTCCTCTGGGGAGTCTTCCAGCTTACCCATGGCCCAGTGAGTGCTCTCCTCTGGGCTTCCCTAGCACCTTGTCCCTCTCCCTCCCGTCTACGCTCTCATACCTCAGAACCACAACCATCTGTGACTTGTCGTCTTGCCGGTGAACTCCCCTAGATTAAGCAATGGGTCTCAGGCATCTTCACCTGCCTGGTTCTTGGCATCTTGCCTGGCATCGAGTCGGCATCAGTGAAAGTTTAAGGAATGAGTGGAGGAGCTGGGCCTGCACCACCCAGAGAGAGAGGAAGAGGGCAGAGGCAGAGACCAACACCAAGAATAGCTGAGCTACCCCTCCCGACCCCACCATACCAATAGGCTCATCTTGGCTGGTGAGCAGGACCAGGGTTCTGCCTCACTTCTAAAGCACCTGGGATAAGATGGGAGCCAGGCATCCTTGCTCCCTGCCCAGCCCCCGTTTCTCCCCAGCAGAAGAGGCTGCCTCTCAAGCATCCCTGAGAGCATGCCCAGAAGCAGGAGGAGCAGTGAGGCCAGTCACAGGACTCAGGGTACAGAGAGGAGCCAGGAAACTTGGGGGACCAACTGCACGGAATGACAGGGACAGCTGTGTTCTTAGGGGAGGAGACTGGCTGAAAGATGCCTTCCAGGACCTAGGACTCGCTCCTCATTACAGTGGTTAATGTGGTTTAGGTCTCCTCGAGTACATCATTTTCCCAAAACTCCTTTGGTTCTTGAACTCTGAGGAGCCCAGTATATCACTCCATCTGACACTGGATGTGGAGGCCAAAGGACCTGTGACCTCTATTGCCACAGGCAGATGGTTCCTGACCCCCAGTTTTGGGAGTCAGAGAGTTGTGCGTTAAAGTAAGCTCTGAACCTCTTCCCCTACTCAGGGTTTCAGGGTGGTTATTAGTGACACCATCAATTGCCAGCCAATGATGGGCCAGTGACATCAGCAAAGTGCTTCAGGGGGTCCTGAACCCCACCCAGGACCCCACCTAGGGTCATGTTCTCTCAACTCCAGTTCTCCTGCTGGCCTGCCCTTTGAGGTCACCCTGATCACCCCACTTCTACCTTCAGGATCACTTCAGATCTTTCCCCAGTAGCCCTCTGGTCATGCTCCCTGTCTGTGAAGTGGCTTTGGCATCACCCCTCCTTACCAGCCCACAGCCACTAACCATCCAGACCCTGGTTACATCACATTCAGACCATAGCAAATGCCTCCTATTGGGTCCCTCCCACTTCCAGTCTACCTACCAAGGCTCCATTTCTGAATTCTAGATCTGATCAGGTAACCCCCTTGCTCAAACCTTCAGTGGTTCCCCCAGTCAGTTCAGTTCAGTCACTCAGTTATGTCTGACTCTGTGACCCCATGGACTGCAGCACTCCAGGCCTCCTTGTCCATCACCAACTCCCGGGCTTACTCAAACTCATGTCCATCGAGTTGGTGATGCCATCCAACCATCTCACTCTCTGTCATCCCCTTATCCTCCCACCTTCAATCTTTCCCAGCATCAGGGTCTTTTCCAAGGACTCAGTTCTTTGCATCAGGTGGCCAAAGTATTCCCTATGACTTGTCAAATTCATTCTAGATTTCTTGATTTGGCATTCAAGGCCCCTCTGCTCAGGTCCCATCTCAGCATTAACTCCCTCTGTGATGTCCCCTATGCTTACCATTCCATGATCACTCCAAGGCTCCAGGCCTGTTCCCTCTACCCGAGCAGCCCTCCCCGTGTCCTGCTGAGACCTCATCTACCCTCCCCGGCGTTGTCCACATGGAAGCCCCCTACATCTGGTTGTTCTCTTTTTCCTCCGAGCACTCCCGGGAACCTCTCCCAGGATGTGGACCCGTGGAGAACAGCTGTCTCATCTGTTTTCCAGCCCCACTGTGTGCAGAATCCAGTGCTGGGCACATCAGGGGAAGATGATGTATGGAATGAGTGAATAAACACTGACCGGTGCAAATATTCGGTGTGTTTATTGATCATCTACTATGTGCTTAGCTGCCGCTAGCATCCAGAGTAAGATGGTGAACAAGGCAGATGTCTCTGCCCGGTGGAGTATGGATGGCTCCTGCTCTAGAATGTGCTGAGGATTAACAACAGCTCCATGCACCCCCTCCCCACTTGCCCCAGCATATCTAGGGGCTGCCTTGCTGGTTGCCTGGTGGTGAGTGTTCAGGGAATGCAGACTGTACACAACACTGACCTAGGCTGAAGGTTCTTTAACATCCCAAGTAGCAAGCACTCTGCAGGTGTGTCCCCCATCAGTCCAGGCCTGCATGTCTTTGGATACCATCAGAGGTTATGTCCACTCACTGCTCGAGGACCAGGCCCTCCCCCAGGCCTCAGTGTCCTCCCAGCTGCTCCCAGGGCTGGGCAGCTCAAGGTGTCCTGACGCTGTAGCAGCCGAGAGGGCAGGGCTCCCGAGCCGTCCTCTGACACGGGAAAAGGGGAGAGAGGGGAACTGGGAGAGGGAGGAGGAGGCAAGGTTAGCCGTTCCATCCCTGGTGCCTGTGGGTCCACAGATCCTAGCATGCAGACCTGTCTCCAGCCAGGGGTGATGCCCATGCTTTTAGCAACCACACAGCACAACCTTGACCCCTCTCAATGGACACTGGCTGAAGAGTGGGAGCAGGGTCCTGGGGGCCCCACGCAGCTGCCAGAAATTGCCCTTTTCACTGCTGACTTTCGAGGGGAGCCTGGGATCCCAGAGGAAGAGCAGGAGCAGCTGGGACAGCAGGGGTGAATTATGGACAGTGGTTATTTACCTGCTGGAACAGAAGCATTTTTAATTCTTACCTTCAGCATTTTAGCAGTTAGTATGACTATGTCTGTGCATTCCAGCCTGGCCAGCCCTGCTGCCAATGACAGTGTAAAAGCAACCATGTCAAATCCAATTTAAAACCACATCTTTTATTGATGTTCTTCACTGACAATACTTAGCCATGTATACAAATATTACTCAAGCCCCACACCTGGCAACCTCCCTACCGCCCCTCCCTGTGGCCAGTCAGCTAGGATATGACTCCCTGCATCATCTGTCGTTTGCTCCTTCACAAGGGCTGAGCCTCCAGGAGTTGGAGCGTATCAGGGCTGGCTTCCAAGCCTGGACTTTGGGGTCTCCCTGCTTCTCTTTCACTCCCACTGCTTCAGTGTGGTCAGAACTGAGGGTGAGCATGCTACCCCCCTCAATAACCCCTCCATCCTGGAAGCCTGGGCTCCCCTTTCACTCTCTCTGCCACATCCTTCCCTTCCAAACGACCTGCCCTGCTGTCCAGCAAGACGGCAGAGCAACCATTTTTCATGGGGTGGGAGTCAGTGCATGGGGAGAGCAACTGGATGCTCCCGGGGGCAGGGATCGCACCATCTTGTTCAGTGCTGTATACCAGTGCCTGGTAGAGACTTGGCACATAGTTGGTGCTCAATAAATACAGTAGGAGGCATGAATGAATGAGTGAATACAAGAGGGAGAAGGATGAGCAGGTGGCACTATTATTACATCAGTTCTCTCAGAGGCATGAAGGCAGAAACTCAAGGCTCTGCTCAAGAACTCAAGGTGTTGTGAGGTGCTGTGCAGCCATGGTTGACGTCGCTGTGACCACCAGCTGGACATGGTGGAGTGTGGGCTTCAGCAGGCTGGATGGTAGAACGGCCTTGGGACCCAGTCAGGAGGGGTCATTTGTGTTGTCTCCACTCCCTCATATAACCCAGGGATCTGGTCATCTGGGTCCCAGAACACAGAGCAGCGCCTTCATCCAGAATCAGTCAAGGTTGGTCTCCTATTTGCAAACCTATATTCTGCTCCCCCAATTCTTGAGCCTGCACTCTCCCTATCTCCCTCCTCAGAGTTGAGCATCACCTTCCAGCTTTGCTTTCCCCACCACTGCTCCAATCTGCTCCTGAAACGGCTCCATTTCCCTGTTCTCAAATGCCGACACCTTCAAGTAGCATTAAAACCTAGTAGTCCTGTCTCTTGAGAGACTGTCTCCCTGGTGGTTGGGTAGGGTCCTGAAAGTTTGCATCATGATTTTCAGACCCCTCCCTACCCACATGGGGAGGGGCGGACAGGGGACAGCAGCTGGAACATCCCAGGCCATTGGCTTCTGTCTCTCAGAGAAAAGGCCTTGCAACTTGGGGGCTAGGAAGCAAGCTTTGGAGTTCTTTTTCCCTTCCACTGCCCACAGTTCCACAGAGGAGATGAGGACACACGACCCTACTTTCCCAATCTCACCAGCAGTTGGAAGAGCTGACTTGGCTGCCTCTCACCCATGGTCATTTTAAACATTTTTGCCAGATTTCAGGCCCTTAGGGAGCATCATACCAGCAGTAAGAATCCACTCCCCACTCCTAGTCTAGGGTTGAGAGGAAAAGATCTAGCAGATAGCAGTGAAGACAGGAGACTTGATAGAGAGTGTGTGAACCAGACAGAGAGGGAAAGCAGGCACCCAAGAGAAGGAAACAAAAACAGGCCTCTGAACAATTATCAGCCACCAGGCTGGCTCAAGGGGGAGCCTAGCAATGCCTAGTGGCCATCTTTCCTCCTTGTCATGATCCACCAACCAACACAGTTCTTTGGTGTCACAGACCCAGGGTAGATGCTAGGACCTTACCAGTCCAACGTTGTAGCAGGTCATGGGTGGAGACAGAGTGCTGTGGTCTCATGTTCACGAGGAGTCAAGACAGACACACACACACAGAGGAATGAAGGGAGCGCCCGCTACTTGTCCCGCTGCTTGCAGCTCTCGCTTCCAACATTGAACATGGGGACCAGAAGGCCCAACAGCCACCTCTTCCCGAAGACCTCCTGTAAGTTCTTGCGCCAAGGCCGGGCTCTCACCGCCACCCCCTTCCGCACCTGGTGGCGGGTCTGCCCCCGGAGAATCAACAGCAACTGATGGCAGCAGAAGCCAGCGCAGGCCAGGCCGATGGCAAACCAGAGGTAAAGCATGAGGATGACGAACATTTCAGAACCGAGGACAGCTCCTGCAGAGGGCGGGGGAAACACATTTCAGGACCGAGGACAGCTCCTGAAGGGGGCGGGGAAACACCAGACTCACTTTACACTCAGGCCACGTACGAGACTGCGATCCAGGCAGGCGCTTTCCGCTCCGGAGAGGGAGATGAATGAGACTGAAACTACATTTTGTAGCAATCTCAGCGCTGTGGCGAGGGAGAGGACTAGTTATCCTAACTTTTTCTTAGTGCTGATGGCTTCTGAGGCCAGAGAGGAATGCTGGGGACATGGGGGAGAAGGAAAGGAAACTCCTATGGGCAGTGCCTAGATGCTAACCTTGCTCAGGGTCAGTGCTGCCCATCTCTCTCTGCCTTCTCGTTGGGGGCTAGAAACAGGGAGAAGGGGGTTTTCTCAGAAGGAGAGTGGGGTGAGCTGAAGACCCTGGAGAGGGAGATGGTGCCTGGGCAACTGTCTGGACTGCAGAGCCTGCTGCCTTCGGAACTGTGAGCACTGGCTGGGAGGACTCAGAAAAGTGACAGCATGATGGAGAACAGGGCCTCGTCATCAAGAAGAAGTCACGAGCTTCAGGACCGTGGAGAGGATAATTCAATCACCAGAGTTAAAAAGAGGACAGTATGGCCACTGGAACTTTCAGCCAGAGCTGTCCTGTCAGAGCTTGCAAAGGCTGGAAAAGGCCCCCAAGGTCGTCAGTCTAGCCCCTGCCTTGAGCTGCACTTTCCCTAGACCCCTCTAAATCAGCACTCCCCTTGAATGACTTAAACATCCACTCTTCTTCCGAGCTGGAGCGGTTGGTCCTTGCTAAGTTTGAATCTCCCAGCTCTGTGGTCTTGCACAAGTTTCTTAACCTCTCTGAGTTACAGTTTGCTCATAATGTAAAATGGGTAGAATAGCAATAATTCCAGAGGTTGCATCATCCAGGGACACTGTGTGCCCAGTGGCCAGCATTCTGGTTTACACTCACCCAGCCCTCCCTGCTGAGCATCCTTCACAGATAAGGAGACTACCTCTAAAAGAGGCTCAAGTTTAACTCTTAAGACCATCAAGCTTTCTCCTCATTTCCAGGGCTTGGAGACCTGGCTGATCTACAACTTTGGCAGCCTCGACCTGCGCAGCCGCCAGGGCAGTGGGCCTAGTAGAGAACTCAAAAGTCCTCCTCAGCCCCTCTCTCCTGCAGGGCAAGCTCACCACCACTCCCTCCAATGAGATGCAAATACCTGCCAGAGACCCCACCTTACAACCTATTCACCCTCTGCAAATCTCAACCATACACCTGCCTTCTCCAGCTTCCCCTGGCCCCCAAGGACCTCTTTTCATCTCCCCAAGCTTCCATTTCCAGACTCCTAAAGGCTAGGCTTTTAAGACCTTTCCAATCTGAGCAATGCTGGATTCAGCAACCAGGAGGACGTGGATATGACTCAGGTTTGCTCATTAGCATCCCTGTCTTGCCTTCAGCCCTAGAAGCTTTGATAGCAAGTTTCTCTTGGCAAACTTGGGGACAGATAAGTCCTGCTGCCCGAGGGATGGAAGGCTCGGTCCAGCTGGCTTGCCCTGGGGGCGGGGCAGCAGTGGGACAGGGATCACCTTGGGCTGTGTCATGCCTCTGACCCACTTCTTCCTTGTAAGGTTACCTCAGGCAGCCACGTGTAGGATGAAGGGCCCTGGGACCATGGTGCCCTCTGGGGTGCAGGAATGCTGACAGGCAAAGAGGGCCCACAAGCTGGGATGTGCGAACATCAGAGCTGTCCAGCACAAGTCTGCCTTGCAACTCAGCCTCAGGGACAAGCCTGGGCTGATGGAAGCTGTTTTCCACAGCCCTTTTTTTCTGGCACAAAATCAAGGCATACAGAAAAGACCTTGTGGCCTTTCCTTGGCCCCTTGCAGCAGCTATAAAAGGCTATTCTGGGGACCTGTTTTCTCTCAAAGTGTTTGAAGATGCCTAGCCTGGCTGCCTCAGCTCCTCTGAACTATTTAATAATAGTTCTGCTTCTTTCAGAAAATCACAGAATTTTCCTAATGGGTTGAAACAGTCACACCATCCAGTCTTTCCAGCCCAGTTTCCCACCAAGCACCTTTGACAGATCATCACCCAGATCTTTAACACCCATCCAGGGATAAGAAGCTCCCTCCCTCCCAAAGTGGCTCAATCATCAAGAAGCAACTTCAGAGGGGCAGCCCCAGGAAAGCAGTATGGTGAGAAGAATATGGGCTCTGGATGCTAGCAGCCCTGAGTCCAAATTTGGGGTTTGGTACTAGCTGTGTGTTTCAAAGCAACTTATCCTTGTTAAGCCTTTGGTAGCTGAGTCTTTAAAAATTATATAATAATACTTATCTCATGGATTTGTCCTGAGGATTGGCTGAAATGAGATCTGCATGGTGAGTAACACATACAGTTTGCCCAAGAAACATTAACCTTTTCACTTGTCCACTGGATTTTTTTTTTTGGCACCTACCACACTGGCATAGTTTTCCAAATGCCACGAACACAGGTCAGATGGCATCACCTCCATGTCTCAGATGAGAAGAATGAGGCTTACAGAGGTGACACAACCTGCAGTGGTCCCATAAAGCCAAAAGAAACAAGTTCTAAAAATCTCACTGGCCAGTCCTTCTCCGGCACCAGCTGAGGGCGTGTGGGCAGCAGCCATCTGAAGACCTGCCCCACTTTTAGCCCCCAGGGTCCGCATTCGCAGCCATCCCATGCTCTGGTGACAGATCCCGGTGGCAGATCAGTGAGGACAGTTCAGCCTGGTCAGTTTGTTCCTTTTTACATCCTCCTGCCCACCTGGCCTCCTGAGCAGATGAGAAGTGGGCTGGGGAAGCCTCAACCATTTGGGTTAAGAAGAGAGAGAGAAGCGATAGGAAGGGAGAAGCTGAAGAGGGGAGGTGTGTGTCAGGGCAGGGGAGAGAAAGGCTGGCAAGGGGAAAGATGTGTGTGTATGTGTGTTAGATGCTCAGTTGTGTCTGACTTCTTTGCGCCATGGACTGTAGCCTGCCAGGCTCCTCTGTCCATGGGATTCTCCAGGCAAGAGTACTGGAGTGGGTTGCCATTCCCTTCTCCAAGGGGGAAGATAAAAACCTGACAAAGGAGGAAGCTGAGATGAGACAGTTGGAGATTAGAAATCGAGGCCTCCATTACTAGGGGGTCTGGTGAGGAGGTAAATGATAGCAGGGTTTCTTCTTCTGCTGGAACCAGGATCTGGGCCCCAAGAAAGGGACTGACTGGCTCTGTTTCCCCCATCAGATTAAAGCAAGAGGTCCCTCTTCCTTACTTTCCTGTCTCCCGAACCTAGCACATATGGACAGGCCTCAAGCCCAGGCTTATCTCAAACCATTTCAAGATCCTCCCTTAGGAAGCATCCATTTTTATGTGAATAAGACTACTTGGAAAAGGAAGTGTTATCAGGCTCTCTGGCTCTCCTCCTTCCTCCACCTGCCGGTGCTCACACTCCACCCCCTAACCCGCCCACCTGCCCTCCCCCAGTCTGGTTATTTCAGTCCCTGGCAGCCTCCCGTGCTGGCGCCCGCCCTGGTCCAGAAGGACCCGAGAGCTCTGAGTTCTGGGCCCAGCTCAACCACCAGCCCTCAAGACAGCCCTCATTGCTGGGTTCTTCCTGGGCCTCCGTGTTCTCACTGCCAAATGGCCCCAAGTTCTCTGTTTCCAAAGGACTGGGCCACAGCCCCAGTGAAAGACCAAAATGCCGCTTCCCCAGAGTAGAGAACAGAATTTCATATGAGCAGCCAGCCCAGCCATACCACAGCAATTTGGGGTTCTCAGTGGAAGTGGCTGTATTCTGTCTTTCCTTGTCCCTGAAATGTCAGTGGGGGAGGACATAAGCTATTTGTCCTGAGCTGTTGTGTGTTGTCTATAAAGACCTGGGAGGCAGGCCAGAGGCTGTCGTTCAGAAATAAAAAGATACTGGGCAGCCGTTTAATCCCATCTGAGCCTGATTCTTCATGAGAAATGGAAATAACAACGTCATACACACATGGCTACCTGTCCATATATGTATGCTGCTGGTTGTAAGAACCAAGACTGTCAGGGCCAAGGTGGGCGAAGTGAAGGAAAGGATGTCAGGGCAGATTTCAAGGCCAGGTAAGGAGGTAAGAACCGCCACCAGGGGCCGGGTCCCTTAGGGCCTTGCTGCCCCCATCTCCTCGGGGAAAACTTTACAAAGTACAGCCCTCACCAGGATGCCTCGCTGACCCCAGTGTGAAGGCCCACACACACCTGGCTGCTGCCGGTCTAAGAGCCTCCTGGAGGGTCAGATCCCCCGCCAGTCCCATGACGCTGCTGTGAAGATGGAGTCATTAAATATGGCTACATCTCCAACCAGGGTGCTCTTTGCCCTGAGCCATCTGTAGACTGGAGAACAAACTGGTGGGGTCAAATATAATGTATAGAAGGGCGGGACTGGCCCAGCACCCTGGTCAACCTTCCTGTGGTGAGTTGGCAAGATCCTTACAGGGCAAAGTCCTTGGAGGAATGTGTGAGCCGGACTGGGGTCCAGGCAGAGGAAGGTCATAGCATGGGGCTTCCTCACAGGCTGCATGGAGGGACAGCCGGCACTCAGCTCCGCCTGCTACAGAGCAGGTATATTGCCTGGCTGGCCACAATTCTATAAGCACATGAATAGTGGCACCCAATGAGGAGAGAATGAATGAGGATGAGGGTGGAGAGGGAGGTTGCCAGGTAACATACATGCCCAGTTAGTTTGAATTTCAAATAGATAACAAAGCAAAACAACAACAAAAAAAAAACCCTAGTATGAATATGTCCCCTGCAGTATTCAGGAAATGCTTGTACTGAAAAGCTAAGCATTGTTTTATCTGAAATTACAGTGTAACTGGGCATCCTGTGTATTATTTGCTAAACCTGGCAAACATAGGGTTGAGGTGGAAGGTCTCTGTGTAGGGCCCAACCTGCCTGCCAAGGCCCACTCACCAGAGAAGAACTGGCTGATGGAGGTGGGAAGGAGCGTGAGGAAGGCCAGGGGGTGGGCGAAGGAGATGGAAAGGACCGCAGAGATGTAGGCCACGCCGGCCACCATGGAGTAGAGGCAGGCCAGCGAGGTGTAGAGGCAGAACAGGACGAAGTTTCGCATGTTCCTGCTCCCGATGCAGTTGCCGGTGAAGAAACAGTGGTGGTCGTGCCTCAGGGTGACTCTGGCGCACACGCGGCAGAAGTGGGTGCTGGGCGGCGGGCACAGGGCCCTCCTGGCCTCGGCCCCCTGGCAGGCATCCAGGTCGTCCGGGGAGTTCTGGATGACCAGGACGTAGTTGCCCAGGGCGTTGGTGGAGAGGAACAGGAAGAGCGCCCCATGGAGCAGGGCGGGCGAGAAGAGGCGGGCGGCCGTGGGGTCCTCACGCATGCGGGGCAGAAAGAGGAAGAGCTGCAGCACCAGGGTCACCAGGGCGATGCACAAGAAGTAGGCGGGGGCCACCACGTTGAGCAGCCTCAGGGCCAGCATCCTCGATCACATTCCTAAGGGTCCAGGGGGAGAGGGAGACTGACTGCGGGGTCCCCAGGGCGCCCTAGGCTGCTCCCCAGTTCTGTCTGTTCTGCTCCACGAAAATCCACGTCCCTCAGATCACCCCTCCTCCTCTCCCTAGCCGTGACCAAGCAGCGTGACACCCTGGGATCACCATGGCCTCTGGGGGCCAAGCCCTCCCTCCTGGTGTCTGCCTCCTCTGTCTTTGAGCAACCTCAGCACCCTGGAGTCCCCCCGGGGGTCGGTACGAGGAAGGCTAGGTCAAGGGCTTGTGCTCAGTCTGTAGGAGGTGAGGCCGGGAGGGGAGCTAGGACTCTGTTCCTCCACGGCAGTGGAAACGTGCCCAGGTTTGGGATTTCTCCCTCCAACCCCTAGGAAGACAAAGCAGAAGATGTGAGGTGGGGGCAGATGGAAATGACCTACTGGCGGTCTTGTTTCACCTCCCCTTTCTCTGCCCCACCTCCATCTTGGGCAGTACTCTGCAACCTTACCCATAACCTAAAGAGGTTTGGGGGTATGTGTGCCTGTGGGTCCCCTGATGTTTGCATGGGATGGGGGGTGGGGTGTTCCTTGTGTATGATTCTGTGTGTAATCTGTGTGTGCACTTGTGTATCTGTGTGTCTGAGTGTACACATAGCAGCCGGTGCCATCTGGCTTCTTAGAAAAATCAATGACAACAATCAATACATTCACACACACATTTAGGATGGGGGGGCACACCAGAATACCAGGATCAGCTGGTTTTGCTCAGCCCATCTCTCCGACCACGCCGCCGAAACCCTTTCGATGCCAACAAGCTCTCCCCGGGCACAGGAGTGGCTGCTTGGCCAGCCTTTCCGCGGACTGACCCCCGCCGCGGATTGCAGCCCCGCACCAACACATTTATTCCCCCTCACCCCTCACAGTCCTGGTTCCTGCCCAGCTTCGGAAGCCACTGAAAAATAGGATTCTCTGTGCCCGCGAGAACTTTTCCAGGGGCTCAGGAGTAGGCGAGCCTGACTCGAGAAAAGTTCTGGGAAGGGCTGTTGCATCCAGGATGGGCGAATGCCACGAGGCCTCAGTCCAGGCTGTCCCGTGCCAATCGGGTGACTGATCACCTTGGAGTCCCCTTTGTAGGTGCCGGAGCCCCCAGGAGACTGGCGGCCGCCGTAGGGACCGCGGGCCTCTGTCAGAGGCGGGGGTCTCGGCGCAGGGCTAAGACCTCTGGGGATGGTCGCTGGGGACCCCTCACCGCTCCTCCGCCAGACGCTCCGGGGGGGCTGCGGCGGCGGCGGCGGCGCTGCCCACCCCCAGAGAGCCGGCAACCCAGGCTCCGGCGAGAAGCAAGTGTCTTCCCCACGCCGGTCGCCAGGGGGGCCGCGGGAGCAGCTTCCAGATGCGCCGCGGCGCCGGGAAGAAGGACGGGCTGGGGGCAGCGAGGGGCGCACGGCCGGCGGCCGCAGCCCCAGCCCCAGCCACGAGCAGGAGAAGGGACGGCGGGGACCGCGCGGGAGGCCCCGGCGCGCGGGGAGCTGTCCGTTCAGCACTGGCGCTGGCCTCTCCCGCCGAGAAGGGCTGCACAGCCGGGGCCCCGGCGAGATAGACAGCGCGGGCGGCCGCGGGCTGGGCGGCCACCGCCTCCCAGGCGCCCGGGAAGCCGCCCCCCGCGCCGCCGCAGAGCGGGTGGGGAGAGGAACTCACCGAGCTCTGGTCGCCGACAAGAGAAGCCTCGGACGCCGGCTCTCGCCCTCCCCGAGGCTGCAAAGTTGCGGGCTCGGCCCCACGGGCTCTCAGCCTCCTCACGCTTCGTTGGGGGACCGGGCAGGTAGCGGGGGTGTCGGGAGGAGGGAGCGGGCAGCTGACGTCCTCCCACTTGGGCGCCGGCGAGTGGGGGCCAGGAGGCGGCGGGTACGGCAGCTGGGCACCCACCCCCCGCCCTTCCCAGAGCCCCGCCACCCCTCCCTTCCCTCCTGGGGGCGGCGCTCTGGCCACCCTGCTCAGCTTCGTGGACTTGCCACCCCCCCCACCCCAACCTTCCCCCACCTCGTTCCTCTGGAGCGGGCTGGGGCTCCGCGCCTGACTTCAGCCACCAGTCCAGCTGTGAGCTCTGGATTCAGCCCTGATGTGGACGCTCTCTCACCGTCATCTGCTCCTTCCCTCCCCACTGTGGCTGAGACCCTTCCGTCCTCTCCCGTCCTTCTCAGACTGAGGAAGTAGGGGGGTATTAGGAGTTCAGCTTTTCCCCGGGGGCGACCACCTTTGAAGATCAGCGTCCTTGTGCTGATGGCTTGAGAGTCCCGACCCTGGAGCCTGTCTGCCCGGGGTCTGAATGTCCATCATTCACAGCTGGGTGATCTTCAGATTCCAGTTTCCCCATCTGTAAAAGAGAGAAGTGAGCTTATATGTCAACAATCCATGTAAAGCACTTAAACAGTGCCTGCCCAGGGTGAGTGCTATTTGAGCATTAGTTTGTAATTATTGACTCTATTTGTTGGGCCCTTACTGGGAACCAGGCATTGTGCTAAGCCTTTAGCATGAGGCAGCTTTGTTCATCTTCAGCAGAAGCTCTGTGATGTCCATTGTATGGATGAGGAGACTGAGGCACGGAGGAGCTAAGTTCATATGCCCAAGGACATATGGCGGGTAAGTGGCAGAGCCTGGATTTGAACTAATGCAGCTGCTCTCAGCCTCCACACAGCCCAGCATCACCCTGAGACCCAGGGGGAGCTCTGACTTAGGAGAAAGGAGTATGACTGAGCCATTTATCCAGACACAGAGCTTGAACAGCTTGAACCAGGAGCTTCTGCCTAGAGTCTTGGCCCCATCTCGCTCTTCCTATGTCCTTTCTTTTATCTGACCCCACTAGTCTGAGGTAGGTACCGAGAGGCACCAAGAGGGTGGGGACAGTTGGCCAGTGTGTGTCAGATGGAGTTGGAGGAAGCAGAGAGGGCTTTAGAACCACTGCAGTAATATGGGCACCATCACTACCTCGGCCTCTTGAACTGTCAGAGATCACCTAACTGCCCTGTTACACTCCTCTGGGTGAAGGCAAACATCATAAACGAGTAATTATTTATTGCTTCCTCAACTGGTTGATTAAAACAAGAATAAGCCCTTAAAATGAGGACAATATGCTTATCAGCACAGCCTATATTTTCGAAGCATCACATACTGTTTTCTCTGTATTTTAATGGTAGGCATCAAAATGAAAAAGAGAACCAGGAAACCTTTTCGTGTTCTGCAAGGGTCTTACGTATAAGCAAAAGAACAGCTTGCTAGGTGTTGGTCTCTGAGAATCTGGTAGCCCTGTGAGACCTGATGGCCAGAGGGCAGGCACAGGAAAGCACAAATGGTCGGGTTTTTTTTTTTTCCTTTAGAGCGTCTTTGTGTCAAGATCACGGCTGTCTGGGCCCGTTTCAGAAGCTCTGCCTGCCTCTCAACCTGGCTTGGGAGGGAGGGAATGAAGGACTTGCCTGTATTGATTGAAGATCTCCATTCCCTAAATACCTTGAGAGTCAGGCGGTATTTCTAATTTTATTTTGCATATGGGTGTGTGGTGGGAAGGTGTGTGTCTGATTGTGTGTGTGTGTGTGTAAGGGGAGGGAAGGAGAGGGAGAAAGGAGAAGCTAAGGAACGGGGGGGAAGATGTTGGGGGGGGAAGGGAGCATTCAGCCAGGAAGGAGATGGAGATCTGGCCTTGGAAACACAAACAGACAAGAACCATTATTTGTTTAGAAATGTGGTTTATCAACCGAAAAGAACATTAAAGCTTCAAATCTAGAGCTAGCAGTTCCTCAGCACTCCCCTCCCCCACTCAGTGAACTGAGGAAGAGGAAGGACAGCCAAGTGTTATTTTGTTTTTCTAAAATTGGTGACTATCTCTGACAAAATCAATAGGGAAGGCAATTTGAAAACTTCAGTTCTGGCCCCATTAGAATTAAGCAGACCAAGAATGAACACTTTATCGCCCCTGACCGCGACTGTGGCACCTGGAGCAAAGTCATCTAACCTCTCTGCTCTTGGTATTCTCATCCATAAAATGAGATGAAGATGTTACCTTGTGATGGTGATGGTCGAATGGGATAAAATAAGTGCCTCATCCTGGCAGAAGACTGGACAGTATTAGCTTTTTTTCTCCTCCTGCTTGTCTCCTGGGCTCTTATCTTTATTCACAAGAACATCTTATCTTTCCAACTAAAATGAGAGCTCCTGGTCTATGTGGGAAGTATTTGGGGGTCTCCTCCATATCTCCTAACATCATGGTTTGTCCAGAAGGGATGCTGAGTAAAAGTGTATCAATGATGAATTGATTCTGTTCTTTGAGAGAAGAGGCTATGTTCCAAGGTCTTTGGAGTGTCTGATGAGGACACATTTCCTATTGATCTTGCATCCCGCCACCACCCACCCCAACTATAGTCTCATCTTCCATAAACAGCATCAGAAAATAATTTATAAACCACACTCTGCATCTCCCTTATCATATATTCTCATAGTTAAGCTATGACTCTACCTGCAGGCGATCCCAAGGGAGCAGGCACACAGACAGGCATCTGAGTGCTGCTGAGCGTTTTCTCAGAAATATGTGCCACAAATCTTGCTATTTGGTGATGTTATCTGAATAAAATGAACTCCCTCCCCAGGGGCAATTATTCCATTTGCTTCAAAATGTTGTGTACAAAGAGAAAAACTGCACAGTAAGTGGCTTCTCCCTTGGATGAGGAACCATACAGACGTCTGTCTGGCCCTACAACTCAAGTGTTGGGGCAGAGAATATTCCAAGATGCAAAGGCCATACCTCAGGAGGCTGTGGGGAGTGGGCTTCATTCATTCTTGTGCTCTTATTTCAGATTGATTATGGTGAAGACAGGCTGGGGTCTCAAGGCTAACTGGTGCCCTGAAAATAAGATCTTAATAGACCTCCTCAGACTGGATGCTCTTTACTGCCAAGAGCAAGTCGTAGCCAGAGGCAACCACAAAGTGCTCCCCAAGTCTCAGAAGGTTTAGCGAGACGTCATCCCTGCCTGCCTGGATTCCAAAAAGATGCAAGTGCAATCTTTGTCTTAGCCAGCCAAACACATGAAAATTGGGTTATCACAGAATTTCTATTCGGAGGTGGTAATTTGGTTGGCCAACTACATCTTCATTTTAATGATATTACTTTAATGCAATCAAGCACTTTGCAGGTTATGAAGTGCATCCACAAAATTAAACTTTCATTCTGCAAGTCTCTCAACAGCCCTGTAAGGTAGCTGGGGAAACATTATTAAACCCATTTTTCTTACGAGGAAACTGAGGTTCAGAGATTTGCTGCCTATTGATTTGTAAGCCTGGCCTGTGTTCGATTTAAAATGTGACTTAACATGTAAACATCTCATTGATGGTTAACTTTTCTAGAACATACAGAAAGGATGAAGGTACATGGCATACTTCCCCAGAGTAAAAGACCTGCATAGTCTCTCTTTAAGTAAAATATTTGTGTAAAATTACACAAATAAAGGCTGCAGCAGGTTAATCAGATGCTCTGCCATTTGTGCTGCTAGAGAGTGTGAATGTGGTTAAGCCAGTGAGGCTCAATCACCCAAGGCCACATGTCAAGATAGGAGCAGCAGGTCTGAACATGGTCACCCTCTGGGTGACAGGTAACCTCAGTGTTCTCCCGGGTGATGGATGCATCAGAGTGGAGACGTTCACTGGGTTTGGCAGAGTCTCCTTTGAAATGTTCAGGCTGCAGGAAAACAAATGTGATCTTTTACCAATTAGCCGTGGTTTCCAGGGACCGCACAGGCAGTCCTGGTAGGAACGCCTAAGCCTGTGGACTAGTACACAGCTTAGCAGACAAGGGTGGTGGCAGCAAGATTAATTGGCCCTTTCATCTCAAAGCCTGAAGAAGGCAGAGGGAGAGAGAAAGCAGGAGGTGCAGGGAGGGAAAAGAAAAAGGAGGAAGAAAGTAGAGGGAAGGAGAAGGAAGATGAGGGGGGAAGGAAGAGGAAGGGAGGGCGGAGAGGTGGACCCTCACCTGCTTGATGCAACCTCAGTTTATGTCTTCATGATGGAGTTTCAGGGTGAGATCAGCTGTCTCTATGGAGAGCCCTGCAATGCCAGGTGTCCAAAGAAGGGAGGGAATGAGGCAGGAGGTTGACATCTCAATTAGAGGAGGAGGGCAGACAAGGAGGCTGATGTCACTGCTGTTTGCAGGACTCTTGGACATGTGATTACGGGTGCAGAGCAGCAAGCAGCCCAGACCTCACACCCTGAAACCCCCTGCCTCCATCTCTCCTCTGCTCTAACAGCGATGGCCCAGGGCCCAGTGTGATGTGATGAAAAAAAAAACCACGAGTTTGGGTGTGAGATTTTGGTGTCTGCTGACTTGGACTTGAAGCCCTGTTTCCCATTTACATGCTGTGTGACCTCAAGGACGTTCCGGTCACACAGAACTTAGCCACTTTGAGCCTCAGATACCCTGCCCATTAAATGGGGATTTTTTAAACTAACCTGTGGCCTTTGTTGTGAATTTTAAATGACAAAGATAGCACCTGCCCTTTCGACTGAAATAGTCCCCCTGACTACTAACTAACAAAAAAAATCCTGCTTGTTGCATAGCACTTGTTGCTTCGATGATGATCCTATTTGTGTGTATGTTTATTTGCTTGTTTATTGTCTCCTTCCTTCTGATAAACTCTAAACTTCCAAGGGCAGGGACTTAACCGTCAGTTTTGTTTCTGTAGCTTAGACCTAGCATGGAGCCTGGCACACAGTGGGTACTCGGTAAATATTAGAATGAATGAGAAACAGTCTTAGGGACAAAGGTGCCTGAGGGAACAATTCAAGTGTGAGAATCTATACCTCGATCGTGGTGGTAGTTACGTAACTGTATGTTTGTCAAAACTGTAGAACTGTACCCTTTAAGAGGGTAGACATTACTGTATGAAAATTATATCTCAAAATCTGACCTTTCAAAATAGGCTAGAGGGAACAACAGATAAACAGAATCCCACTAACTAAAGATTTATATTTACCGACACTTATTGAGTACCCAGCTGATAAGGGGCCAGAGCCTTCACATTGGGTTATTTCATTTAATCCTTACAGAACCGGTGCCCAGTGGGTCTGATTCTACTTAATTTTGCAGAGAGGGAAGTGGAGGCTCAGGGTGGTTATGAGATTTGCCAGGATTGCAAAGCTTACTGGCTGCAGAGAAAAAATTCAGGCTACTTGATTCCAGTGGCCAGGACTCACCCAGTGTGGTTTCTTCTGTGTTTCTTACACCTAAACCCTCACACTGACATAAGATTAAAGAGCCAGCTCTTCTTACAGAAAGGGAACTTACCATGTTGATGTTGATCTCTTACCTCATAGCATGAATTGGTTGGCTAGACTCTTTTCTCAGTCAAACAGGATGTAGAGAGAATGGGCTTTTTGCTGGAGACAGGGCATGGGATAGGGTGGGGATTAGAATTAACACAAAGAGACTTGGGCTTCCCAGGTGGCGCTAGTGGCGCTAGAATCCGGCTGCCAGTGCAGGAGACACAAGAGACATGGGTTCGATCCCTGGCTCAGGAAGATCCCCTGGAGAAGGAAATGGCAATAAGGAGCCCAATGGGCTACAGTCCATAGGGTCAAAAAGAGTCAGACATGACTGAAGCAGCTGAACATGCACACACGCATAGGATTGTTACATAGATTAAATCAGATAACATCTGTCAGCACTTAGAATAGTGGCTGGCATAGAAATATTAAATAAGAGGTAGAATCCCCAAGGACAGAAGAGTCTGCCTGGCTACTGTTCATCAGGTCTCAAAGATTCAGACACGACCAAGCAGCTAAGCACACACACACACACACAATTGTAATTAATTAAGATTAGTGTCTGGACTTCCCTGGTGGTCCAGTGGTTAAGAATCTGCCTGCCAATGCAGGGGACATAGGTTTGATCCCTGGTCCAGGAAGATCCCATATGTGGAAGGGCAACTTAACCCATGCCCCACAGATACTGGAGACTGTGTGCCTAGAGCCTGTGCTCTGCAACAAGAGAAGCCACGACAGTGAGAAGCCCAAGCATTGCAATGAAGAGTAGCCACTACTCACCACAACTAGAGAAAGCCTGGGCACAGCAACAAAGACCCAGTGCAGCCAAAAATCAATAAAATTTAAAAAAAGTAACATCAAGTTAGGTATGCATTAAATATCTTTTAAAAAAAGAATAAGTTCTCTGACATGTGATAGAAATCCTAAGAAAATGCTGGTTTAAACTAAGATGGAAATTTATTCTCACTTCAGTGAAGTTTAAAGAAGACAATCCAGGGCTGCTGTGGAGGCTCTGTGATACCTGCTCAGGCTCTTTCTACCTTGTTGTTCCATCATCCCAAGTATGTAGCCTCATGGTCCAGAATGGTTGCTCCTGCCCCAGCCATCATATTCATATTCCAACCAGCAAGAAGGAGAAAATGAGAAAGGATATACACGTCTCTTTAAGGGTGTTTCCTGGAAGTTGCATGCAACACACCCATTTACTACCTCTTACCACCCAGAACTTAGTCACATTGGCCACATGCGTGCATGCATGAGTACTTGCTAAGTCACTTCAGTTATGTCTGACTCTTTGTGACCCTATGGACTGTAGCTTACCAAGCTCATCTGTCCATGTGATTCTCCAGGAAAGAATATTGGAGTGGGTTGTCACACCAACCTTCAGGGGATCTTCCTGACCCAGGGATCAAACCTGCATCTCTTATGTGCCCTACATAGTCAGGCATGTTCTTTACCATTAGCACCACCCGGGCAGCCTCACTTGGCTGCACATAGCTGCAAGTAACTAGATAATGAGCTAAAATTTGTGAATTATATTGATACGCCTGAGCCAACAGGGAAGGCCCATAATAAAGAAAAGGAAAATTAATTTGGGGGACAACTTTGGAGCTTTTTCTTCTACTAGAAGCATTTAGGCATATTCAAGCTATTTATCCCCTAGTTCTCAGGACAGATGCAAGATTTTCCTGGCACTTCTAGCCTCTCTGAGATTCCAGCTCCTCACTGGGCAGATAGAGCTACTACCCACTGCCCTTCCCTATTCCCTCACGGATCCTTGACTTCCTCTTGGCATTTCTCCTCCCAGAAACAGGTCCAAGAAAGGCAGCTCCAGCCTGCCAAAGCCTTGACCTCAAATGAACATGGACAGTAAGCACTACAGGCTGCTGTGGTCAGTATCCCAGGCCATCTGGCCAGCTCAGCAAGCTTGAAATCTGGCCGGTTAAACAGAAAGGGGAGACAGAAGAGATACATTTTAAATATTTTTAATTTTTAAAAATCATATGAGTGGCATGTTTTACAAGAAAATACAAATAATGTATTAAAAACAAAGGAGAAATCCCCTCATCCTAAACCCAGAGATAATCATCATTAATATTTTGTATGTATCTTTCAATCTTTTATTTATTTGAAATTTGCCCCCTTAATTACAAATTTGGGCCCACAACTTCATCCTCTTTTATAACCAGTCTTTTCAGCAATAACAATACAGTTCTTCCATGCTGACACATACGTTTCCCACATCATTTTCAATGGACAGCTTACAGAAGGGACATGGGTTTGCAGAGATATCCCACAGTTTGGCTTTGACCTTGATTTCTAGACAAAATATACTCTTCAGCTTTATCTTCAGCCTTGGTCATTGAAAGGCTGAAAAGCTCAGTTCAGACAATAGCATCATTTCTGGGTTCCCTGGGCTTGCACATGACCCATGAGCTGTGACCATGTTACATAACCTTCACATCCACGAAGCAAAATAATCTCCATTATACACACATGACATGTCATTTGGCTTTACTGCTAATAATCACCTTCAAGTGTGAATAACCTTCTAGATATAACTTGTAGTGAGTTCTTCTCTTGTGCTCTATTTGTTGAAATTCTATCAGCCAGTTAGAGAATAAATATATATATTTATTATTGCAAAAGTAAAATGTGTATCACTCATGATGATTATCATGAGCAAGTTCTGGGAGATGGTGAGGAGAGGGAAGCCTGGTGTGCTTCAGTCCATGTCGTTGCAAAGAGTTGGACATGACTGAGCTGAACAACAACATGATAATTATAAACACTGTCCCTTTTTTGGTACAGAAATCATTATTAAGCATTTTGAGTGTTTAAATATAGAAGGAAACATTGAAAGCTAATAAAAATATTGAGAAAGCATATCAGCCAAATTCCTTTAGAAGATATTTTTGAGGCAACAATAATAAAACATTAAAATAATAGTATGAAGCAGAATAATAGATATTAGATTATATTTAATTTTAATTTTTGTAGAATTGAGATACTAACATTTGTAACACTAAACAAAATAATCTTTTAAAATGTAGTCAACTTTTAGTAACTTTATTCTGTCTAGGGCATGAAACTTTAATAAAAAACCTCATTTGTAATTATTTACACCTTGTAAAGATAAACTAAAAACAGAATGTCAACCAATTTCCCAATTTCACAAGGAGGCAAACCTCTAAAGTGATGTGTAACACTATCCATGGCAAATCATATTTAACCCAACGTGGGAAGAAATATAAAGAATATGAAGAAAAGAAGAAATTTCTAGAAAAAGTGAGGATCCCACTCCTCCACAATCCTCAGCTGAAAGAAGCATCAATTTATTAACACAAATGTGCGATACAGCAGCGAGCTTGTTAACTGCCAGCACTGGAGAAGAATGTTCTTGCGTTAAAATGTTAAAGAGTTAAGCGTTGACAATGACATTCATTAATGAAATTATCGTCACAAATAATCTCTGATAACATTTTAGATGTACTCCTTTAACGAAGACGCTCGTTTTGTGAAGGTCATGTTAGACATTGGCCTGAACTTCAGCTGAATGAACAGGACTGATCTTGGCCATTTGGCATTCAGCCGAAGTGTGTGTTGAGTGCATCTCTAACTTTATATTACTTCCAATTTCTCACTATTGTTAGTAACATTGCGATTAATGTCCTAGCACAAACAACTCTATGGGGCTCTATAATTATTCCCTTGGCTGAATTCTAAGAAGTGGAGTGGCTGGGTCTAAAGGACCCCTATTGCCAAACTACCCCCCCCAAGAAAGTTTGTACCCATTTCCCTCCCATCACAGGAGTGGAGCAAGGAGAGATTGGCTCGTGGCTCCAAAACAGCTATGGCATTTGCCTCCTCAACCTCCTACAGTAGTTGGCAGTTGGATGGTTGAGAGTAGAACCCTTCGGATACCTTCAAACCCTCCTGGATTCCACCATGGCCATCATAGCTAACCACCTTCTACTGGGTTTATCTTGTTTCTGGTATTATGTTAGACCTTTTAGGTACTTTTTGTGTTTTAATCCTCACGATGATGGTCTTAATAAATATTACTGGCCTCATTTTATATATGAGAAAACTGAAGCTCAAGGGTTGGGTGGCCCTGCTCCCAGCCCTAATGGAAGCCTCCAGAAGCTGGCCAAGTAGCAGACTGAAAGCCTTTTCTTGCAAGTAAATGAAACTGTAAACTTCAAACCCCATTATGCCAACTGTTCAGCCCCTGGAGGCTAACGGGCTCCCTGAGCCCTCCTGTGTGCAGGCATTGCCAGCCAGGGCTTGAAGGTGGAATAAAGGTGAAAGGCGGTGCTGACCGAACCCAGCTCTGCTCTGGGTTGGGCTCCCTGCCGGGCACCTGTGAGCTGGCATGCCTCTCGGTTGTTTCTAAAGGAAACTGTGCCACAGCCTCTGTCACCCTTCTGGGGGTTGTGTGTGTGTGTGCACGTGTGTGGTAACTCACAGTGCCAGGAGAAGGTCAAGACTGTTGGCCACGGAATCCCCTACATGGCAAGTTGACAGTTGACTACTTGGGGAGAAGGGTAAATGGTGACCACACGTCTGGGACTTATGCACCATGTCATGCAGGTCTTAGACTGCCAGGTTTGAGAGCCACTATCCACATCTTACTGGAGAGGAGCCAGAGGCTTGGGAAAATGTTCAAGGACTCACAGCTAGTATGTGGTGAAGGGACCCAAATAGTCCAGGATAGACGCTCACACTGTCTCTGATCCAGATGGGAAAATACACCCTACTACGTTTTCTATTATTCTTGTAAGAGCATGAAGCCTTGAGAGAGAAACAAAAAGAGTCTTCTGAAGCCCCACAGAAGCAGGAAGGCTCTTGCTCTGAGGCCCTCGCAGAGGAAGCGCGCATTGTCCCTGAGAGAGCGGAGGGAAACACACGAGGGCGGACCGACCGCCTCACGGAGGCGCTGCTGAGCCCCGACCTTTCAACTGCCCGGGCCGGGCGGGTGGGAGTGGCGGGGAGCTGTATGCCCCTGTGAAGACCTACCCCCTTCCTTCCATTTTCTAAGTCTGGGCCTCAGGAAGTGACATCCCAAAGCCTAAAGGAGAGGAGGATGGCAGTCAGTCTCCTCTCCTCCCTGGCATCCTTCAGCAGACACACATGTAAGACCCATGGGTGCCGCGGCCAGCACTTGGAGTCACAGACTTGAATCTGATCTGTCTGTCACGCTCCAGCTTTGTGAGGTTGA